CCCTCAGCGTTCGTCTTCCTGGAGGCTTCAGGATGTACTGTGCAGGGGAAGGCCTGTGTGGTCCTCTGATGGCAAGTCTCAAAGTTAAGCTCGTTCCTTTCCTTGACATTCAATGTCCCCAGATAACCCACATTATTTCCCAAGACAGCAGGTTCTGTAACGTAGCATATAAAGTTATACTTGCTCAAGCTCCACAGGCTTCCTCTAATCCTCATAGTTTGAAACTTAGTGAACAAATCCCTGTTTACTTTATCCATTCCATTCATGATTTTATTACTAGAAATCACGCCCCCAAGCCTTTATTTCAAGATTGAAGAGACCCAGCCTAACCTGAGGCGGCCTTCTCCTTTTATTACTAAATTTCATTTCTGAGAGTTAATATTTTCTTAATTATTCACAATGAATTTCATTTACTCCCAGGAACCCACCGGGAGTGCCTGCTTATCTCCCCTTCCCCAAGCATGCTTCTCATCCAACGAACCTTCTTTTAATCTAATGGTTTGTACCTCGTGTTGTCACATTTCAGACTTGATACACAGAGAAGAAGGATTTTAAAATTAAATCACTGATTCCACAGTACAGAAGCCAAAAGCTTGTAAAATACGTGTCTCTGGCCATACAACTTAAAAATTTATGAAACATAAGGTATCAGAATAAAAGACAGTCTAAAATGATCTTCAAATCTGGGGTAAAAAACAAAAGGACAACATGCCTAGAGATGTGATTATACATCTGAAAGTATACTTACAAATTTTAAACAATAATTGATGAACCTTGGGTCATTGTGGTATCTCTTCTTATCTAAAAATTCCTTCATTAGATGCTCTAATAAAGTTGTCAAATATTCTTTATTCTCAGGGAAATTCTCTTCTACCCATCGCATGTAACTAGAAAAAATCGGATAACATTAATTTTTCAGGGCAGCACATATAGTTTGTTTACAGAAAAACTAAATAAACGAAATGCTAACCTTTCCCATTCACCAAGTGGGTCATCGCCCTTGTAGCTCTGCATATGGGCTTCAAACATTCTAGAGCAGAGAAAAATATGTACATGGGATTATTAGGAATACTTCCTAAAAGATATATTTTATATTTATCATTTATACACCTTAAAAAAGAAATCTTAAATATCAATTCAAATGCTATAATAAAAATGAAAACAGCATTCCCTCAGAAGTCAGAAAACTCAGAAGCAGTCAGTGTTTCTTCAGAAGAAAGTAAGACGCAAGGCCCCTGAGGTAGCCCTATAAAGAAGCAGCTAAAAGAAGGTCCCCAGGTCTATCCCCAGGAGTCTCCGTCTCCTCTCACTGATTCCCGATGTCACTACCACCACCATGAGGGGCAGCACCCAGAAGTTTGCTGCCCCTCCTCCTAATGTTGGGACCCAGGCACGGCACTGACTCAGACCCCTCCCCTCCCCTTGCTGCTCAGGAGCTTGGCTGGAAGACTTGAAGAGGGCTTGTGAAGGGTGTGCAACAGCCCAGGGTCCCACCGATCAGGGCTTCCAGATCCAGTTTGCTTTCTGGGCCTCAGTGGAACACAACGTCCCTGAGGAAGAACACACAATGGCAATGCTCAGAAGTCAGTGGCTATGGCTCCCTGAGAACTCTGCTTGGCCCGACCTCCGTGTACCCAACCACAGCTTAAAAAAAAACAACCAAGCACAGCAAAGTTCTCCAGGGGCCCCCAGGTGCTAGTGCGGTAAACAAACAAACAAACAAAAACTGTAAAGTATTGTCAGGTGACATTAAGCACATAGGAAAAACCCCTCAAAAGATGGGAGAAGGGGTAAGAATGTGACAGGACTTACTGTTTTTAGGTAGAGTGGTCAGGGAAAGAAAGCCTGCCTCTCTGAGGGGGTGACATTTGATTGGTGCCAGGGATCCAAGCAGCTATGGAAGTGCACTGAGCTAGGAGAAGGGTGGGGATGACAAGATCTAATTTGCATTTTAAAATGTGCATCTGTCTCTCCAAGTGAAGAAGCCGGTGGGGGATGAGAACAGAAGCCGGAAACCAGTTAGGAAGCTACTGCAGAGCCCCAGCGACAGGGTGGACCATGGTGGGAACAGTGTGGAATTTGGCTGTTTTGGAGAAAGAAACAATGAGACTTGCTGATGGGACTGCACACTGGGTAAGAGACAGTCAAGCTAAGGAACACTCCTAGGTTTCTATCAGAGATGCTACATGACATTTGTTACATGACTTTTTTCGGGGGTAGGGAAAAAATGTTTGAAAGTAATACTTTCTTCTAGCTCCTGTACCTCAAGATACAGATGAAATCAATGTTTCTTATGACTCAAAATCCATAAGCCACAAAAGAAAAGCTAGATGAAGTCAACTATATATAAATTAAAAGCTTCTATATGTCAAATAAAACAAAACACGAAGCAGAGTCAAAAGAGAAATGATAAACTGGGATAACCAAACAGAGCTTCTAGAAGTCGGGGGGGAAAATAACCAAACACAGTCCAACTTAAGAAATGAACAAAAGGTGTTCCACAGAAAAATACTCAACCTCTTTCATAAGAGAAATTCACCTCACTGAGATACAACTTCTCACCGACCAGACTGCAACAATGTGACAAGTGTACAGGGGAGGCAAAGGAAACAGGCACTCTTACAATTTGCTTGCAGGTGGGAGTGTACACAGTCCTTGCCACAGTAATTGGTAATAAGATCTACCAAAATTCCAGATTGATTTACTTTTGATCTAGCAAACCCACTTCTGGGAATCTAGATGACAGATATATGCAAAATGTCAGGTGTACAAGATTTTTCACAGCGGCACTATTTGTAATAGCAAAATATTGTCCACAACCCAAGTATCCATCAACGGGGGACTTTTTAGATCAATTGTGGTACATGAAATATCATGTAGTTGTAAAAAAGGAGAAAAGAATCTATGGATTAATAGAGTGAAATTCTCCAAGGATAGTGTTAAGCAAAAAAAGCAGTGTGTACACTCTGTTACATTTTATGTGCAATAAAGGCAGGAATTGTACACACGTGTACATATATGTATATAGATATGTTCATGTTATAATATATTTATATTTGCAAAATAAATATAAAAATAAACTAGAAACATGCTTACATATGAGGGAGTGGAAGAGCAGTCAAGTATAGAGCGCAGTGAACAGTTTTCTAAATCTTTTTTTAACCATGTAAATGTAGTACTTATTTTTAAAAACTAAAAAGTCAAAATAAGGTTGGAAATACCTGATTTCTTTTTTTAAATGGGGGAAAACGAGCCTCTAATATCGAAATCCTTTGCAGGCTGGGCTAAAGAAAAAGTCTTAAGGCAAACAAATTTTTGTTTTTACAGCACTTAACCACCTGAGTCTTCGGATCCCCAGAGAGTTAAGATTACCTTGGTGCTGATAAAACTAACCAGTTTTACTTCCTGTCACATATGGTTTAAGTGTTTTAAATGCTTTTGAAACAGTCTGGATAAATCACCTAAGTCATACAAATAAAAAGCAAAGGCGTAGGAATTTTAAAAATTGTTAGCAGGTTGACATAAATGATGATAAACATAACGTGCACTTTCCCCTTAAAGTGCACGTTATTCAAAGACTTTTAAAAACTGACTGTGAGATTAGGGGTTAAAGCAATTTTAAGTTCTCTCCCTTTCGCAGAATTTTTAAATGAGTGGCTTTGAAAGTTTCTCATGAAACCTAAAGGTAAGTTTTAGTTTTTTGTTGGGTTAGACGTTTTACTTCCACAGCGGCAATCTGCCCAGAGCGGATTCCTTACAAAGAATCAAGGAGCGCTGAGGGCCTCAGGAACCGTCCAAATCCCCCCAAACTGCCACTCCGGCCGCAGCTCGGCCTCAGGGCCAGGGTCTCAGCAGAGTCCCGGCTACACGGTGCGCGGTCCTTTCCACGGCTCCCTAGTGGCCCACAGCCCACCTGGGATGGGGCAGGGGTGGGTGGCGTGACGGTGGGAGGGGACAAACTCCGGAGCCAAGGAAAGGGGTTGGGAAGGGCACAGGGAGGCAGGTCTGGGGTGGGGCGGGCCGGGGACCTGCAGACCACTAGGCCCGAACCCAGGTACCCAAGCCCCCTGGCTGCCTGCAGCTGGGGATCACGCCCCCGCCCCTCCCCTCCCACAGACCCACACTTACTGAAAAACATTTTCCGGGTTATCCATGGCTAGAGGACGCGAGCCAGCAGCAGCCCCACCTGCGCCGCCAGCGAGGAGCCGCCGCCAATTCGAATCTCCCGCGCAGCCGCAGTCGCCACGCCGAGCGTTTGCAAGGCGCCTGACCATTGGCCTCAGCTGCAGATGGGCTGGCCAATCGCCGGGGCCGTTGCCAGGAGACCAAGCCCCGCCTCCATCCCGCGCGCCGGCCTCTCCTTTCACTTCCCGCAGCCATGTTGAACCGAAAGCTCGCGGAGTCTTGAGCGGGGGCTGGGATTCCGGGTACGGCGTGGTGAGGGCGCCCTAGGTTGCCTCAGGAGTAGGGAGTAGGTTTTTTTTCCTTAGCTGTCCAAGCTGCAAGTGGCTTACATGGTTTCACGGTTAAAGCATCATCCCAGGGAAGGTATTGTAGGAGAAAAAAAACTAACTTGAGGTTCCCGAGGTGGAAAAAATTGTGCCTCGGCCCTTGGGTCCGGAGAGCCGTGCCTCTTCCATCCTTTACTTAAATAAATAAACCAGAATTGTTATGTCTGGTTTATGGAAAAAAGAAAATTAATCCCGTTTGTAGAGTCGAGACTTGTTTGAGGTCGCAGAGTCCTGGGGGAAATGCCTGTCTCTGGCTTAAGAGGTAGGCAGGTGGGGTGAAAACGGAACCCCGCCGAGTGGCACACTTCCCGGTTTCCCGCAGTTTTCTGTTCCGCGTCCTTGCTGTAAGGAAAGAACCTAGATGCTGAAGCCCGTGAAATTTTAGTTCCAGACCCTAAAATGCTGTGGCAGAGAGCTAGGGAGTGAGTCATCAAAAGCCCAGGGAAGAACCTTAAGTGGGTTTTAGCTTAGTGGCTATAATGTGAGGGCATGTCGGTAGGCACTTCAGGGTTAGCTTATGTAAATTATATTGATACCTGGCAAATGAAAGCGATGGGTTGGTACCCTGGGAGACCTCCAGGCTTGATTTAACTGATCTGAAAGGCTGTGTGGACAGAGTAAATGAGGGCTCAAGGGACTGGGAGTTGTTCCTGCATCCAACTGGTAATTAAAGAACGGAAGTTTGGATAGAGTATAGAATGGCGGCCGGAAAGTTTTCATCATGTTCCTCGGAACTAGAAGCTCTGGAGACCGAGGACTTATGGATTCGAAAACCAGAAATGAAGAGACCTCTTTGTCACGGAGTCCAGATGCCTAAGAAGACATATGTAATACGCTGATGCTTCCTACCTGAGAGTGAGTTGGAAAACAGTCAGCCTAACCTTCTCTGCCCCTTGGTCTTTTAGTAACTTCCCATTCTACTTCTCAAGGTTCTTTCAAGAGCCACTTGACAATGCAAGTAAAATATAAAGAGCTATTCATGTGAATACCATCCTTTGAGAGATGCTGTGTGGATATTTTGCTCTCTTAGGGCCCTTAAGTTAAATACCCTAAAAAAAAAAATTAGCTGCTTTTGGAAATCCTGATGCTTTCAGAGTCCAGAATTTCTTTCAGGGCATTGATTAATTAATTTGGTTCTACACAAGTATCCAATTTGTGAGATTGTTAACTCAGAGGGTGCTCACTCTGGAGTCTTTAGGCAAATTTAGGTTCTGCTAACCATTATAGGAATTAACACATTTTTAGGTCTTCAGCTTGTCTGATAGCACCTCAATCAGTCAACAATCAGGAAACGTTGATTGGGCATCCACTGCTATTGGATTTATACCTAATTACAACCTTATCTTACTGAAACAGATCCTGTCCTTAAGAAACTAGTGGTATTATCTGGGAGATGGAGATACAGACATAGAAAATATTCATTGCTAAATTAATGTGTATTAAGTGCTAAATTAATATACATATGATTTAGCCTATCTGCTAGGGGAGTCCATAGGAAGGAGGGGATGTGGGGCCTGTCTGCTGTCTGTCAGAGAAAGCTTCGTGGGGCAAGGGGGGCTTAACTTTTGACTTGGGCCTTAACAGGGGGTGCTGGTGGATCTGGACTGGGGAGAGCCTGGGGAGAACATTCCTGATGTAAATCAGGGTTACTGAAGAAACTCACCCTTGAGGACTCCTGCTAATGAGCAGTGGAGATTCTTTTTGAAAGACTGGTTTAATAGTTTGATGTCTAATCTTAAATGTTAGATTAAGGAGTTTGTACTTGATCTTGATAGTAAACTGGGCCTTTTGGGAACAAATAGCACTGTGGTTATAGGACCTTACGGTAATTATACTTACCTCTACCCTGTTTTCCAAAAGCTGCAGAGATTGTCTGCCCTCTTTCCTTTCTACTGCTAGGAGCTTCTTTCCCGCCAGCCTTGTTTGTAGAGTAGGGTAAAGTATTGTGGATGCCTCTTCCACACTGCCCCTTGAAAAGGTCACAGTGTTCCCCTATAAAGCCCTGATGCCAATCCTAGGAGTAACAGAAGTAAGTACTAGGGTTGTCAGCAGTTATCAGAATCTGATGTGTTTCTAGGAATAATTTCCTGGCTTACTCAATGCCTTCCCTTTGTCCTTAATTATGGACGCCCCTCTCTGCCATTATTCTTATTCTGAGGGGCAATTACAATGACCCTCCCACACAATGGGTTCTTCCTAATGTCCCTATTAGGTTAATGGACCCTGTTCCCAATAAATCGGGATTTACTGGGGACAGGGGAAGGGAGGGGTGGGTAGCAGAGGCAGAGAACAGTAATTTGCAGACTTTAAACTGGTATTGGAGGCAGAGGGAATGGAAGAAGGTAAAGTAGGGAATCAGATCTCAAGGAGGGAGAGTTCTCAGAACACAGTGATGTCTTCAGTATGTAAGGAAAAGAAAAGAAAGACGATTTTGTGGCCTCGAAGAATTGACAGAAACAGCCATTGAAGCTGGCAAGGCTGATGCTTGCATTCAGATGTGTTGAGTTGGAGAGATAACCAGGCGTTTGACCTTCCTACTGGGCACCGTGGAAGGAAGGGAGAGACAGGCCAGGTTGAAAGGCTTCAGGAGCTTCTTACTGAAGGAAGTTTCATGTGCTGTTGGTTCCTAAGCCTAGGATGATTGTTTTCTTCTAAGAGCTTCACATTACCTCTCCATGTCAGGAATAAAGGAAGAACTTCCAAATAGTTTGATGAAGAAATAGTTTGATACTTTGATGAAGCAAATCTGTAAACCCCCCAATGCTGGCAATTTACATGAATCCATAGAAGCAGAAAATACACAAAGGTTCGCAAATATGTTGCCCATTAAAAAAAAAAGACTCACTAATTGGAAGCTTGTGCCACTGACAGCATTTCAGATTTCATCTGCTGTGACTCTTATCTTCTTTAATCTTCTCCCTCTACCCTTTTTTCTCAGATTTGTGTTGAGACTGTAGTGATTGCCATGGAATATCTGAAAATCTATTAAATAATAATCCTTGCTTCACTGATCTAGCCCTCCCTTTAATTTTTGGCATTGCTGTTGCCTTAGTGAATCTGTTATCTTATCTTCCCAAACCCACCCCAGAATGTGAGTGGGGAGGCTTGTTTTGATCTGGGTGGGAGTAAATGGTCCACCTGTGTCTAAATTTGCCTTTCCTGCTTCTGAGGCAGAAATGTGCAGTTACAAGTCTCTCTTCCTTTAAAACTCTCCTTTACGTGCTTGCTAATTTCAATATTAAATGTCCATTTCTGTAAAATGACTTATAGATTCTCTAAGTTATAGGAAGGCCAGTGACTAAAGTATTTTTATTCATATTTGGGCTTTCAGTGACTTGTTATTCCAACATCATAATTTCCAGACTTATTGGAGAAGGAAAACCAGGCCAGGTCAGGGGACATGAGCTCCAACCTTGACTTTCCCAAGAAGCAGATAATGGGCAAGTGACTTAAACTCTTAATCTGGGTGTCAGTTTCCTGATCTGTAAAATGAAAAAAGAAATTTGCCTCCTTGTCTTCATAATGTTTCTCTGAATTCCACTCTCCTGTAGCCTCAGAAGGTTCTCCACTCAATTTCTTGGGTTGTCACATGATATCAAAGTTAGAGCTCTGTTTAGAAAAGTGACTATTTTTCTCTAGGTACTGCCTGTTTGATAGATGCAAACAATCACAGATACACATATATCTTCCTTCCACTGGGAAATTTAAAAGAATTTAGAATAGCAGTATTAGATATGTTGCTGAAACATCATATAAGATTAGAGATTTATGGGCTTCCTTGGTGGCGCAGTGTTTGAGAGTCTGCCTGCCGATGCAGGGGACACAGGTTCGTGCCCCGGTCCGGGAAGATCCCACATGCCACGGAGTGGCTGGGCCCGTGAGCCATGGCCACTGAGCCTGCGTGTCTGGAGCCTGTGCTCCGCAACGGGAGAGGCCACAACAGCGAGAGGCCCATGTACCGCAAAAAAAAAAAAAAAAAAAAAGATTTATAATTAAAATAGTTACAGAAAGCTGACAAGTGATTTAAGGGGTTATAAAGTATTGACATTGAGAATAAAGTTGATATGAAGAAAGGTAAAAATAAAGCCCATCTGAAATGTTTTTCATCTGAGAGTGTTTGGTGACTTCAGAAGATGCCTGTGTGGTCAAAACCCAGAATATACTCTTGTATCATTGCAGCCTAGGAGAAAGAATGGGAATCCCAGCTTCCTGCCCCCATCAGCCTCCCCAAGAATCTTTAATAGAATGTTCAGTCCTATATACTAGGCTGGTATTTGTTTAAAGGACCTAAGTGATACCCAGATGTTATTTACGTTTTGAGCCTGGTTCTAGAGACCAGAGACCCTGTTCCTTTCTCTATCCTATTCTTCCCTTATTAGAGGCCTCTCAGGTCTTCATAAGCTTAGTCTTGCATCCTGATAAATGACTGCTCGTATTCTCTCCAAACTGGCCTACCTTAGCTCTGAGCATCTCTTCGGAATTCATCCCTCTTGTCAGCTACAGAGTTCTTTCTTCAGCTTCTGTACGCGAACATTGGTTGTATCCTTCCATTGCTGTGTAAATTGTGCTGTCTTGGATTCTGGGGCAAGTTGTTCTCCTAAGACTTAGGAAACCAGATACAGCAAACTTTAGTCTTGGAATCAAAAGCATATATGAAACATATTACTTCCCTTCATCAAAGGCACTTTCCTAAATTTGTAGGACTCACTCCCCTTGATTTAGGCTTCTCCATCCCTAACTGAGTGGGATGACTTCTGTGATCAATGTCAGGGACTTATGGCTGTTCTCCAGTTTCCTTCTGTCCCCCAGCATCTAAGATAGAGCTTGTCTTCCTTTTCTCTTCACAGCTGCTGTCACCCGTTCCATCTCTCATGACTTACAAAATGAGATGGATGAGAACAGTCACTTCAGATCCCACCATTTTTCCTTTGGATCCCTGAGAAATGGAGACTTTTGTTTATTTTAAAGTTTACCCAAATGGATATATTAAAAACATTTTGTAGAGTTCAGAGATGTTGCCTGATCTGTATTTTCTCTCTTTTCCTTTACATGCTCTCGTAAGTCTTTTCTTTCCTTTTTGCTGACTGATGGTGAATCAAACCTCATTCGTTTCCTCCACTAAAGAATCTTTTCATCTCACTCTCTCTTTTTTTAAAATTTTTTTTCTTTTTCTTTTTCTTTTTTTTTTTGTGGTACGTGGGCCTCTCACTGCTGTGGCCTCTCCCGCTGCGGAGCACAGGCTCCGGACGCGCAGGCTCAGCGGCCATGGCCCACGGGCCCAGCCGCTCCACGGCATGTGGGATCCTCCCGGACCAGGGCACGAACCCGCGTCCCCTGCATCGGCAGGCGGACTCTCAACCACTGCGCCACCAGGGAAGCCCTAAATTTTTTTTCTGAATTTATTTTATTTTTGGCTGCACCGCGTGGCTTGCAGGATCTTAGTTCCCTGACCAAGGATGAAACCTGTGCTCCCTGGAGAGGAAGCGTGGAGTCCT